AGGAGCCCGGGCTGGCGCAGCCATGAGTGGCAGGGAGGAAAGTTGGGGTTCCCTCCCCCCCGAGAGGGGAGGGGTTGGTGAGCATGGGTCACAGCCACCTAGTTTATGTGTAAAAAAGAATAAAAGGTTATATTAAACTTTTTCATGAGTTTTGTAAGTAAAATCACAGACCTATGTAACCTCACTCATACTCCCTGATTTATCTTTGAATTTTCAGGTTTTGATTCTTTTCTTATATTTAAAATTTTCTATTGTACCTGAGCTTCATAACTAACTGGGCTAAAGCTGCCTATATCTCTCCAGTTCAAAATTTTTATTATTGTCAAAGTTATGTTTATATCTTGTTAGATACCTGATACAGAAGGCTTAGTTTCCTTGGAAAAGAAAATCCTTAAAATCTGAGAACATTTTAGATCAGTTAAAAATGCAGCACTGGTACAGTATTAGATTACATGTACTGCCACATGTATATATGTATAATGCTGTATTTGTATAAAATATTGTAGTCCTGTATCTTTGCCAAACATGTGAGATCAAAGATGGTAAATTACTGTTGTTGAAGTCAGATACACCAGAAGAAAAACACAAGTTTGAAATTACTGAAACAGCATGGGAAAGGGGACTGGAGTTCCCAGAAGTATACCGAAAAATGAAGGCTTCACAGTTAGGAAATGAGTTGGTCAGAGATTTCCAAGAGCAGATGAAGTGTTCTTTGACCCGAAGAAAGTGTTTATCATCTCACCAAATGTCTACTCAGCAGCATTTTTTCTCCTCCAAAGTGTTCCTATTTTAAAAAATGATGAAGTGATTAGCTGTTGCTATCAGCATTTAAGGAACAAGGCATTACTCTGTTTTGCTTAGAAAACGTATTTGTAAAAGAAGCAATTTTTATGAAAGCTGTAGTATATATTGTCAAACATGACATGAGAAAGCCAAAGAATTAGGGACTTAGAGCTCCTGTAGGTTTTGTTATATTCATCAGAAAAGAAGCGTTTGTCTTTTAAAAAGTGAAATTTCTATCACTAGGAAGAAGGATTTCACAATATTTGTAAACCAATTTCACGAATCTTCTTTTTGAAAATGCAACTAGACAAATCTACCAACAAGACTGAGATCGGTAACTCACACTTCCAGTTATTTCAGTAGAGGGAAAACAAAGTTAACTTTGAAGTTCATTTGCAGCAATTTAAAATGATATTGTTTACATCTGAACAATATATTCAAATTAATAATAATAATAATTAATAATTAATAAATTAGCATTCTGCCTTTCACCTTCCAAATACTTTGTAAACTTGATTAGCTAATATAGGGCCTAATTGAAGTGAGAGGGATTTTTATGTTCACAGAAGGCTGAATATGGGAAAACAGGTTACAGTCCTCGTTACCTAAAATTACAGCCATCTTCCCAGGAATGGATAATATTGTTTTTTAAAATCCTAACATTATTCAGTGGAATTGAAAGATTCCAGAATTGTACGTGACTTGCCCAAAGCTTTAGACAGTAGTAATGCAGAGTCAGATTTAAAACTTAAAAAGTTTGTGTCTCATACATAGCCTTAGACCATTAATTTGCTTCTCTCTAGTGAATGCCCATGTCTGGTATCCCTGGACATATCGTGTAAGTCCTGGCATGCTACAGCCATCATTCTCACTTCTTTGAGTCACAGCAAAGGCAATTAGATATAATGCAACTCCTTTTCTTTTTGGTTTTGAGAAAATTTGGGATACCACAATATAGAAAAATAAACTCCAAGAGAAAGCGAGTGATATCAGTGTAATAGATTCCACCATGGCCAACACAGTAAGGATTCAAGGTGGAGTCTCCAGAGATGAAAGCAAAAATCTCTACAACTTGGTAGGGAGAAAAGGAAGGAATTTGTATAGAAGTGCACCCAGGTGGGGCAGCTTGCAGGATCAGGATTTTAAATGATATTTTGCTGAAAAACACAAAAAGCCAATAATTTGTATACATTTTAGAAAAATATATGGAATTAGATTTCATTTCAAACAACACATCTTCAAATACATTCGTCAGTTCTCTTCACTTGTGAACACACTATATTGAGTTTACATTGAATGCTAAGGGCTGCACATTGGGTATTCATTTCTAAATAAAAATCTTGTTGAATTCAGTGGGAATTCTGTGAAGCATTTATTTTTGGTATATTTCTGGAAACTCCATTCCTCCTTCCCATGAAGTTTTGGTAATTTCAGATTTGTCGACCTTTTTCTTGTATATCTGACATCAACAACAACAGTCATGGATTTATAGCTACTGTTCGTAATATTTCTCAGCATAAAGCAGTGGTTCCCAAACTTTTTGGTCTGCAGCCCACCGCACTCAAACCTTTCCGTGGATCACCAGCCAACCACCCATGATGAAAAATGCTTTCTCTTATCTATCAATCAATGGTTATCAAACTGCAGTCCACGGACCACTAGTGGTCTGTGGCCACCTTGCAGATGGGCCATGGCTCAAGTCTTAGCCCCCCGCCTCCTCTGCAGTGGGGAGGCTGCACAGGCGCTTCAGTCCAGCACCCCATGCCAGGTTGGAGCACGAGCTGCGGGATCTGGTTTGAGGAGGCAAAAAATGGCTCCATGCACTATTGCTTCCCTTCCCCTGCTTGGGGGATTGGCAGTGCATGAATGCACTGTCTGGAGGCTTTCCCCGCTGCTCCCATTGGCTCATGTTGAGGCAGAAACCCATTATAGAGAAGTTCAGTCAAAATGGTTAAAGTCTGGCAAAGATATAAGCAACTGCAAACATGAGAAGGGGAGTCTCAGGCAGTATTGACTACAGGGAGTGCTCTCAGATGTAAAACCATTATGAACATGAACTGTTTTCTTCTTTTAAATGTTTCAGATTCTTTGAATATATATTTCTCTATCAAGATGCAGTGATGTTTCAGATTGAACAAGTCACAAAGCTGTGTTCAAAGATTGCTTTAACTGAGCCATGGGATCCTTATGATATTCCTGACAACTCCACTTATGAAGATCAATACTACATTGGGGGGCCTGGAGATGAAATTATGGTACAGGAATGGTCTGATAGAAAACCAGCCAGGAAATGTAAGTGTATTTTGCTTTATTAAAAATGCCTGCATCTCCTTTACCTAACATACAATTTTCCACCCGACTGTTAGTAAGGGTTTGCATATTACCACAAAATTTGCAGGAAGAAATAATATGAACTAAATATGCAGCATATACAGTGTATCATATTAGTGCTGTATTGTATTAAAGAAAATGTCCCCAATGTCTAAATTAGTGCAAGAGAATATAATGGAAATTAAGGCCCTCTGATAAGGCCAGGTCATTAGGAGGTGACATGCTTTTGGACGGTTCCTTTCTGGCAGAGGGAGGCAGATGCTAATCTCTCTGTATGGTCATATGGGTAGTGTGTGTCACACAATGTAGAAATAACATTGATTAAAAGATTGCAAAATCTACAAGAAAGGAGTAGATGGGAAAACAGAACCAGTGGAGGCGTCCTGCTTTTTTCTGGTATTTCAATGGGTGCAAACACCCTGAATACTTTGCTGAGAAGGCAAATTGACAGCATGTTTTGCCTCATGAAAGCTGAGTCACAGCTAACCTGGGTGAAAAACACTGAAAGGACTTCAAGTGAGCATCGCTTTACAAGACATAAAAGTATCTAGTTAATTAACTCATATCTAGGGGTCGTGGGTAAGAGTGTGTTTATCATTAACAGTGGGGCCTACGTAGAACTTGTTGCCTCTGGCTGATAGAAGTGGGGAGCTGTGCCCTGGCAGGCATAGATGAGGCTTCTTTGTGCTAAGAATAGGTCGTAGTGAGGTGCCTCACAAACCCAGGTGCCCCTGGAAGCATCATACTCAGGCCCTACCTATAATAAAAATAGTTCTTAATAACCCTTGAATTTAAATTGAATTTACAACATTATCCAGTTAATGCAACACTTATGACCCGGTTTTGAACCTTAATACTCAGACAAGGGAAAATATTTCTGTAATAAAAAAATGTGAAAATAATATAAAGGAAAAGATTGTTAGAACTCCAACTATGCTGGATGCATCCTCTAACATTCACCATCACCATCCTAGCCAGGAAACTTATTATTCAGATCTATTATTGTTGGCAGATTTACAGACTTCATAACCAGTTATTAGCAATTTGCACTCTTAAAGTCATTTGAATATGCCCTGATATATTATACACCCCCAATTATTTTTGAGTGTTTTATACAATAATATTGAAAGAAAACAATGTCTTGTTCATCTCTATCTGTTCATCCACCCATCCCTCAGACATAATTTATCTTGGATTCTGGAGATTGTTATTATGGTAAGGTTATTCTGATTTCAAGGGAAATGTATTGTACGTTAATAGCATTTTTTGCATTCATTTTATATGAAATACACTAAAAACATTGTGAGCTGATGTATTATGACTTTTTGGGAAGTGTGTTGAATTATTGCTGATCTAGCAGCCTTTATTTAGATGTTCTGTGTATATGTCACAGCTCAAGTTGTTTTCATAATGTGGACTGGATTTTAAAATGATGCATGCATGACCACTCTTTGGATTAGAGAAGGTAGGTAGAGCAGGGGTGAGCAATACAATGGTGGTGATTCACAAGAATTAGCCCCTGATGGGCCACTGCAGCTATATTTACCTACACTCCCACAGGTATGGGCGATCACAGCTCCTATTAGCCGGAAATGGCAATCTGTGGCCACAGGATCTGTGAGCCCCTGTACCAGTGGAGGTGCAGGTAAATATGGTGGTGTGGGGGCCCGCTAGAGGCTTACCCTGGCAGACTAGATCCAGCCTACTGGCCAGTATTTGCCCATCCCTGAGGTAGAGGCTACTAAAGGGTTGAAAGCAATTAAAAAATTGTCACTAATATGGATTACTAAAATGCGAAGGTCACCGCATCCATCATATATTTTTCATCCCTTGGGGATTGGAATCAGGGTTCCTATAATAAGAAATACTAATCACATGCACTAGTGCTTAATGGAAGGATCTCAGACTTGGTAGCATCTAGGATTTAAAGCTTAAAGACTATCAAGTGGTTATGGCTAGATGTAGGCTCCCTCTCCATGTCTTAGAATTTAACACATGGGAATTGGTGCACTGATCAATTCTGAAATTTCTATATAGACTCTAGCGTATGGTAGGATATAATGCAAGAATAATATATACATCCAAATTCAAGAAGAATTTGATTTTTTTAAAAGCCATAATAGAGTTAACAGCAGTAAAATGCCCTGAATTCTTTATCTTTAGTCTTTCAAATTATTTGTTAGTAACCAATTTTATATCATCCTTATAATCCCAAAAGGGCATTCCACAGAAGAAATCCCTTAATTATTACATCAAAATAAATACATCTGCTTTGCCAGTGTTTAATTATGTCACTCTTTACAGTCTAATAAAATACAATACAATTCTTCTTTGAATAGCCTCTTTCAAGCAAAATATATTCCAAATACTGTGTAAAAGTAAGGAAGGCATTTGTGCACATACTTAAAACAATACAGTCACCAAGTTAAAAAAAGGGGGAAGAGAAAAATTGAGGTGTGCAGACAGGAGAGAAAATAAATACCATGAGGTGAGATTTTAAAAGGGATGGTGAATCAGTGATATCCGTCTAGAGGGCAGAAGCTGCAGAGATAGAAATGCTTGCATCAGCAGTGGCAAGATTATGTGACATCACAAACGGGAAACTAGTGGTGGAGAATCAGAGAGAGAGAGAGAGAGAAAGAAAGAAACTAGGTCTGAAAGTTATGCTGGATTAAGTCCATGACATATTCTCCATTTTAGGACACAAATTTTGTATGCTTAACTTGTATCTTGCAGTGGAGAATAGGGTCCAAGAAGTGTAGTTTTGAATAGGTCTTCAAATGAATGAGCCAGGAGAGATGTGTAGGGAGGTGGAAGTTGCACTAATGAAAGTATGGATGAAGATTTCTGCAACAGGGGCAGGGAAGGAGGAGACGTATATAGGCAATGCCTTGGAGAGGATGTAGGTTTGTTTTGCAGACAAAGGATTGTGTGAGAAGTAAAATGTGAGGATTAGGATGATGCCACAAGTTTACAAAGAGACTGAAATGAATGGGAGGAATGAATCAAGGAAAGAGGTAGATAAGTTAGAATAGTGTTTGGGAATGCTTCTTCTTTTCCAGGACTAACATGTCTGTGTCTGAGATAGTTAGCTGGAAGAAGATGAGACGAAGCCAAGTATATTTTTATTAGAGATGTGTCAAAAGGCAAAATATGTACAGCTGGAGATTATCAGTGTAAAATGGGCTGTTAGAAATTAAGATAACTGAACGCAATGAAGGTAGAAGGCTGTGGGTCTCCACCAAGGAGAATTCTTGGTGTAGAGAAGGAATTCCCACCAAAACAGAGAACAAGCAACTTCATAGGTAATAGGAGAGCTATGGACAAGGAGGGATTCAGATATCTTACACAGCTGTGGAAATTGAGTATTCCTCAATATCAAAGGTGGCTCTGAGGCCCAGCTGTATGAGCATAGAAAGAGAGCCTTCAATAGCAGAAGGAAGAAATATATTTGTCTTGGGTTAACTATAGGTTGGACCTCCCTGGTCCAGCACCCTCAGGACCTGACTGGTCCTGGATGAGGGATTTTGCCAGACCAGGGGAGGTCATTTCTGGACCCCCTGCTGCTGGCTCCTTCACCCAGCTCCTGGCCTCTCAGCTGGTGCCTCACCTCCTGCTGGCCCTGCTGCCCTGTCAACCCCGCTGGGCAGCCATCACTGCCGTGGCTTTGCGCCCCACCAGGCAGCTGCGCGCGCTATGCTGGGGCTCTGGGTCTCACCGGGCAGCCACGCACTGCGGATCACTGCCCCGCCGACCTACCGTGGTTCCCAGCCAGGCCGGGCAGCCATGCACATATCTCCCAACCCTGCTGGGCAGACCCGCAGTCATACGCTGGGCTGACCCGCAGTCATACACTGGGCAGCTCACTGCCCTGCCAGCCCCACCGGGATCCTTGCTACTGGCCCTCCACTGGGACTCTCTGGTCCTGCAGCATCATGCTGAACCCTGGATGTTGCCAGACCAGAGAATCCCAGGTAAGAGAGTTTCAACCTGTACTTGAAAGATAATCTAACAGATTATCTTTTTAATATATACAATTATAGGGGGTACTCTGACCTTTGAAATTATCTAGGCTCAAATGTGGGATGCAGTGTATGATGTTTACCCCAAATGTGGGACACGCAACATTTGTCAAGCTGGAAACTCAAAATGCTGTGGAGTTCCTCCCTTTAATGTAAAAAACTCCTGTTAGAACTTTATTTTCATGGTTCTTCATTTGTGAGGTAAATAATTTTTTACAATAAAAAGGTGAGGATGTCAAATTTGTGTGGCAGGTAGGTAAATTTAGGACTAAAATAACTATCCTTCCAAGTGATGGGCACTTGGGATCTATGAGAGAATCAGACAGAGAGGTGAGAGAAACCTACTTTCTTGATTAGACTGATGAGACATGGATACTTACAGGGAGTGCTGCAGATCTGCCGTGGCTCTTTTAATAAAAAATAATTGGAAAAAATGGTGTGTAAAGTCATGGGTATGAAAATTCAGCTATAATTCTTTTAATACAATATGTATAACTCCCTCCATTTTCACTGCTACCTTCTCTTCCTCCTTCTTGCTTCAAAGGTGTGGAGACCATCAACCACCCAGAGCCACACATTGGCACAGCAACCCTGCTTGGTGTGGAGGGAGGGCCCTGGGGTAAAGAGGCAGGAGAGCAATCCCATTCTGCATTCACTTCACAGCAGCAGCTCCTTTCCCACAGGATTGGGACTGGCTCCCCACACTGGGCATTGCCATCTGGATCACACGTGGGTCACTGGCTCATATTTGGCCTGGCCCACCTCTTAATCATCATGTAGTGTTCAGAGCTGGGAGCCAGGCCAGATCTTACAGGACAGGAACCCCACTTTGGGATGAGTGTGGGCTGGGCTAGCTCTCCAGCCCTTTCCACTGTGGCCTCGTCTCTCTACTAAGTTAGTAACCCACCCCTAGAATCTTACCACAACTCAGTGACAGTTCATGATCCAAGGTTTGGAAAATACTGCTTTATTACAAACATGGGTACAAAGAAAAATCAGAAGGCTCCATAGAAAAGGTGAGAGAGAGCTGAGGAAGGGAAAGTAATGGAAAAGAGTAATAGTGAGGGGTTAGGGAAGCAATATTGCCATGAATTAGGGTAATAGATGTGAAGAAGGAAGTCTGCAAACATGATTCTCTATTCAGAACAATTTTCTGGTAATTAGGGATTTAATTAACCCAATCCTAAATTGATTTCTGCTGTCCATTAGAATAGCAGAAATCAGTTTATCTCATGAGTTTCTTCAGATATGTTTACAATATACAGAGTTTTCAAAAATAGCACCAGAAGTTAATATTCAGGTCAGATGTGACTGAACATTTTATCTTTAAAGAGCACGAGAAACATTTTTTCGTTTCACTTCTCTGTTAAGGCTGGGATTTTCAAAAAGTTGTAAGTGCCCATCTCCCCAGGGGTCCCTTGAAAATTGTGATTGAAGTTAGGGAAATATACAAATGTTTTGTTGTCCCATAAAATAATCATACTTTGTGTTTCATCATAGTTGAGTCCTGGGTTGGCGTTTATACAGTCAAGGACTGTTACCCAGTGCAGGAAACCTACACAAAGAACTACAGCGTGACAACCTCCACCCGCTTTTTCGATTTAAAGCTGGGTATTACTGACCCTTCTGTGTTTATTCCACCCAGCACCTGCCAGGAAGCCCAGCCAGTAAAGATGAAAGATGAATGTTGATTATGGACAATTGGTTCTGACATGTAACCTGCTTTTCAATCCCATTGTTGCTCTTTTGGGAATTCTAAAATTTCACTAGAAAGGGAACACAACCTTTAATTGAACAGAGAGCTAAGATGTGTAACAAAAAGGACATTTTATTTCATTGTTTCACTAAATTAAACTCTGTTCAGTGATTCACTTGTTGTGTTTGTTACCAATGAAGTTTATAGGCACTATGTTAGCTGTGAATTTTTTTGAAAGTTTCATTATTTAATATGTCAAAATGCCAACACAAAAGTATATTGTGCTCTTATTAACATAAAGGAAAAGTTGAATATCATTTGTTACTTCTGGAGAGATTTGTGAGGTTGGTAAAATACAGTCTGTTTAAGAGCTAAACTGTAACCATAAAATGGCATAGTTTAAGCAGACAATATCAGAGTGATTAAATGCATTCTCTTGGGTTTTTTATCCTTGCTCTTAAAAAAAGCTGTCAGTCAAGAGTGTGGCGATTTGAGATTTTTGTGTTGTGTATGGCTGTTTGTTTGTTTGCAAAGAACCAGAATAACTATTCATAGAATATACATGACTGTTTTAATACTGTATTGGGGAGAAAATAAAAAATTAAGCCATAATTTTTCTTGCATTTATTAATCCCTCAGTGAAGCCTTTCTACAATGTCTGATTAGAGATTTTTTTTGTTTTATTCATTTCTAATTCATGCTTTGTCAAGGCATTGTTGCTTTTAATCTGTGCAAATAAATTAATAGATACTGCACTCTGAATTGCTATAATTGTTTGTAACACCTACATCCAGAAGCCTTTTTCTCCCCCGCTCCTGTCACCTAACTAGCTAAAGCTAGATTAATGCATATATAGCTCCTCCCATTGCAATTCAAATGAAAGACCTAAATGTGTGACAGGCGGAAAAATAATATTTTAAAGCCCTTCTTTATGGTATGATTTCAATGCACTATGATCCAAGCACAAATGACAATCATCTTTTGTTTGCAACCTTTCCTTTGATCACTGAACACATTCATTGTTAAATCAGCATTCTAGAACATTAATATACACATGCAGCTATTTTCTGGGGGAAGGAACAAGAGCTTCATTTAAATAAATAAAACAAAAAAACCCCAGGAACTGTACATTTTTAGCAGTACAAACAGAACAGGACATTCAAGTGATATAGACTATATAATTGTCACCATCTTCATGTGTATGAAATTATAGTAAATACTTTAGTCTTCTATAAGTCTAGGATCTTATTTCAATTGTTAATTGATTATATACATATACCTAGATTTTCTGATCCCTTAATTCATGTTTGCTAGTACCTCATTT